GAGCGGTGTCGAATCGTACTGTGGTCAATAGAGTATCACCCGTCACTAAGTATATGAATAAAGCGGGAAAATGTGAATTATCCGATAGCATTACTAATAGTAAGAATAACGAAAGCAAATCACTGGGAAGTTATCTTTGGAATATTGCTTTGCGATTTACGCACAACAGAGAATGTGGAGCACTCGAAGCTGCTGATACATTATTAGGTATTCCTTTATATGGAAGTGATCGAAATACGACTATTAGATGGCTAGATGTTAATCAAATTAGATTTAGAAAATTAAAGACTCGCAAAGAGATTGAAAATCTTGATAAAGAATCTACGGACATATTTTGTCCGTCTTTGATAGATACTTATTATCCAATAAGACCGAAAGAATTAGACAATGTGTCTCTTTATGAATTTGCAAAGTGGTATGACATTACTAAAATTAAACCGAAAAATAAGTATATCATATATTATAAAATAGGTAAGGGTATGTATCTTAAACGGCGAAAACGTGAATATCTTATTAATCATTATAAATACGATGTGAATACACAACCAGAAAATTATTTCTTTGCATTATTACTCATGTTTAAACCATGGCGAAAATTGGAAGATCTTAGAAACGGATGTGATAATTATACAGAATCATTTCACAAATTAAAATTACATCTTGTAGAAGCATTACAATATCATGAAAAGATAGAGGAATTGCAAAAAGCATTTGAAACGGCAAAACAATTGGTTCAAGAATACCTAGACAACGAATTAAACAACAAACAAAATACATCGCAAGATGATCCAGAAAATCCAATAGGTATTCAAAATATAGAAGCTGGTGAAGCAATGCAAGATTTTAAAGATCTTGGAGAGAAAATAGAAAAAAATGTCGATGTATGTGATATGATAGCAAAATTNAATCTAGATCAAAAACGTGTGTTTGACAAAGTTGTTACAACTGTAACATCGGATAAATCACCATTACGATTATANGTTAGCGGAGAAGGTGGTACAGGAAAAAGTTTCTTAATTAAAACTATTAAATGCTGGATAAAACAAAATCTGAACAAAGATACTGCTATAGCAGCTCCTACTGGTATTGCAGCGTTTAATATAGACGGTTTGACAGTTCATAGATTACTTCAATTGCCTGTTGAACACGGCTTTATTCCTAAATATAAACAATTATCTGATCATGTATTAAAAGTTTTACGAGCAGAACTCAAAGATGTTATTCTCATTATAATTGATGAAGTGTCAATGATATCTAATTTGACTTTAATGTACAATACATACATTTTCGATTATGTCAAATATTCGACACCCTTGATACTGATGATGGTTGGTTCGGTGGAAAACACATTCTTCTATTTGGAGATTTGCTTCAATTACCTCCAGTAAACGATGATCCTGTTTTTGTGAGCTTAACAAAGGAAAAAATTGATAAATATCTCGGTTCGTTGGAGGCTCCTAACTTATGGACTACATTGTTTGACTACGATGAATTAACAATCAATATGCGGCAGCAAGGAGATGATTCTTATCGTGAGATACTATCAAGAATTCGTATTGGATTAGTGACTCAGTCTGATTGTAAAATCCTTCAAACTAGAATACTATCTTTTAAAGGTGTATCTATGGAATCTAGATTGAACGAATTATGTAATTTTATTAATGATTTGCCGACAGATACCGTATGTTTACTGCCTACTTGTCACATGTGTGACGTTCTTAATGCGGCGATGCTAAATCGAATTACTTCTGAAGAAATAGTATTAATTGCAGAAGATAAGATAAATTGTAGTCGCTTTGTAGAAAAGAAAGTTGCAAAAATATTGTCAAATCATGAAGATGATAATTCAAGAACAGCCGGACTTTCGAAAAAAATTATTATTAAAATTGGAGCAAAAGTTATGATACGACGTAACATTGATGCTAGCAAAGGCCTTGTAAACGGTACAATAGGTAAAGTAATTTCTGTTGTTAAAGATATATCAAATAACAATATAGAAAAAATAAATCTTCTTTTGCCGTCAGGTGAAGAAGTTTTAATTGAGAGAGTAAGTGTAAAATTTCCTGTCATGGAAAGAACATATGTCATTAGAAAACAATTTCCATTGTGTCTGAGTTATGGAATCACTATCCACAAAAGCCAAGGATTGAGTTTGCAAAACGCTATTATGGATGTAGGTAATTCTGTATTCAGTTGTGGTCAAATTTATGTTGCATTGTCTCGTGTAACGTCTTTAGAAGGATTGTATTTAATTAATTATGATCCTTCATCTGTAAAAGCTAGTGAAGAAGCAATTATTGAATACAACAGGTTAAAACAAATACATAAACCAGAAACAGCAGCAATAATTTCTGTTTCAAAACAAAAAATTCGTAAGGTAAAGGATAATAATCTATGGACTTCATCAAAAGTAATTGCTTCTGTACAAGAACCACAAGAACCACATCATTATAATGTTCATAAAAGTACTGGTTGGATTATTCGTGGTTTCGAAAACGTAGATAAAGTTTCATCGTACGCAAATTCAATACTGCAATGTCTTTTGCACTTAAGTATAATTAGAAAACAAATATTTAATTATGATAAAGAAAAACTTTTACTTGTATTAATGCATCAATATGAGAATGAAATGCCCGATTTAAATACATACAGAATACGACAATATCTAGGAGAAAAGTTTTCGAATAATAATGTAAAACATGATGCATCTGAGTTTCTTTTGGCTCTTTGCGTAAAATTTGATTTTATAAAAAATGTAGTCGAGCATCAAGTAACTTCTACAACACGATGCAAAAATTGTGAGTATACAAATACAGTTATATCAAATAATATTTTGATCTCAATTCCTGTCATTAATCTAGAGAAAAAGAGTTATGATCTTAACGACTTATTAAGTACTACTTTTCTTCATTGGTGTGAATCTATTAACGATTTATGTAACACTTGTAAAAAAAATAGTAAAATATTAAAAAGAGAATTAACATTGACAAAAGAAATACTTATCATTCATTTTCTATTATTTTCAGAAGATGATAAAGTAATACCTGCAAATAAATTTACTTTACGTGCTGTACCAACGACTAAAGTGTCAGCAGGTGGACACCTATATAAAGTAATTAATGCCATATTTACTAACGGACTGTGTATTGCAAACAGTCATTATACAAGTATGTGTAGACAAGGAAAAAGTAGCTGGTTTAGAATTGATGATATGCAAGTTAGAAAACAACACTGGCCTAAAGGTGCTACGAATGTTTATATTCTTTTTTTGGAGAGAATAAATAAATAAAAATGTTTTTTATTATTTTGACAGAAACAAAATATAATTTAAAAAAAGATGAATTTGAAGTCGAAAAACGGAAAAGCAGTTTGAGGGAAAGAGTTTTCAATTTAAGTCAATTAAACTAATATAATACATGTTGTGCAAAAAATTGGCCCATATTTTTACCTTTTTTTAAAAAAGTAAGTTCTTCAAGATATCATTTTGTAATATATACGTTGTATTTTACATGTAATGTGAATATTTTAACATTAAGTCTATTGTGGAACACATTCATCATTATTCGTATACCATACACCAATCAGAGTGTTTTTCCAGATACAACCAATCACAGATTGATATCATAAGTAACCAATCAACGTGCGCTACTATCGAAAATTGAAAAGTTCGGTTAGGGTGAAGTTACATAGTACGGAAAAGAGGCTGCGGAACGGGGAGTGCGTCATTGAGACAGCCAATCATAGCTATCCCGTACGATTGTATTCCGCAAGCTTGGCTTGGTGATTGGCTGTCTCAATGACGCACTCTCTGTTCCGCAGCCTCTTTTTTGTATCATGTAACTTCACCCTTATACATAGCGAACGAACAGCAAACGTGAACATTTCTTATTGTCATTCGTTATTGTATAGTATATATAGATGTATACGCCAAAACAAATGCACCAGAACATTCGGTTCGCATTTCCCTCATCAAAAGCTGTACATCAAAGACAATTCTTGCGCGATATGGATGCACATACGTGCTGGTCGCTGCTGTTTGTTATTATATATAAGAGTCAGTCTCCAATGAATTTTGCACTGCCTACTGCCTTAGTCTTAGGGAAAGATCAGATGGTGCAGAATGTGCGTAATGGGGAATTTACAGAATAAATTTCGGCCAATCATAGACATTCATTCCGCAAACTTTGTTCTGTAAAACTATATTTTCTTACATCTCATTGAACGGAATTAGTTATTGCACAACAGGACGCTGACGAATCGTAAGAGCTTTTTCATAGATTAGTTTTATAGGATCTATCAAAATAGTAATTGCTAGCGCTGATTACGCATTCGCAAATTCCGCTTAATGGGACATTAGAAAAAAAAAATTTCGCGGATACTATATTATAAGACACATTTGTTATATTTGTCATTGATAACAACAATATACACGAGAACATTGTGTGTTGTTATATTAGTATATTATTCAAATATTAAATAGACTTACGATTTTCTTTCGAATTTTTGGCATCTTACAAAACAAAGTTCCACTATTTGTATTTGCAATCAATTAAGTTACGATAATGATTTGGTCAAGTCCGTATAAAAATATGTTTTTGCGGAACGAAAATTGCAGAATCGGCGGAATGAAGCCACGACCAATCACGAACGTTTCGACAGTTCCGCATTACGCACGTTCCGCACCATCTAACTTCTCCCTTAGCCAATGAACACATTTCTTTTTACACCATGGCTGCGTTCGTTTTTGACTGGCAGTACTGAAAATGTATAGATTCATGTCACGCATATATAGATTTTCAGTACTGCCAGTCAAAAACGAACGCAGCCCATGTGTAAATGTATATCCAACTAAACAATTTAACGCACGGAACATTCGAGACGAATTACATCGAAAGATCGACGGATTGCATCATTTACATTTACAAGTGCATAATATTAATAATCAGTAAGTATATTCTTAAAAATGTATTAATATTTTAATATTATATGTGTCGTAAATTATTATTATTATTATATTTCAGAAATGGATGATCAAATCGAAAAAGACTATGAAGACGAATTAAATTTACAAAACATCCATCGAGTAGAAAATCTACTTTTAACGTTTGAAAACAGGACATTAAAAGACAGAGTGAAGGTTTTGGAAGCACAACTTGCAAATATAAGTAAGTACAAGTCTTTGAATATCTTGTTTAAAGTAAATACCAACAAAATACTTTGTCTCTTGTATAAACGTCTTTCACTAAACATGCATATATACATATATATGCACGTATATATTTACATATATTTACACAAACACATATACACATTTTTTTTGCAGGAAAACGACAAATAAAAGAAACCAATGTACATGCATTAGGTTCATTGCAAAATAAACGTAAGTAATTCCTACACATTATTTCCATATCCTACTTTTTCTTTTTCTCTCTTTCTCTTTCTTTCTTTCTCTCTCTCTCTCTCTCTCTTTCTATATATATATATATATATATATATATATATTTATATATTGCAGGACAAAAAGAATCATCATCTGTAAATGAAGAATTAGATGAGCTCCTGGACACACAAGCAGATGAAGAAAATGAACGTGAGTATAAAACAACAGTCATACTTAATATTTAACTTTCTTTCTCACTCACTCACTTTCTTCTTTTCTGACTCACTCACTCACTCTCTCACTCACACTCTTTGTCTTTCTCTGTCTCTGACTACATATATATACATGTACATATGTGTGTATATTGCAGAAACAAAAGAAAAAGAATCGTCATCTGTAAGTGAAAAATTAGATGAGCTCCTGGACACACAAGGAGATGAAGACAATAAACGTAAGTATAAACCAACACTCATACTTATTATGTAAATTTCTTTCTAAGTCATTCATTTACTTTCTCTTTTTCTCACTCACTCTCTCACTTACACTCTTTTCCTCTCTTTCTCTCTTTCTCTCTCTCTCTCTTTATTTATATATATATATATATAATAGATATAATATATATATATGCAGGAGAAAATGAATCATCACGTATAAATGAAGAATTAGATGAGTTTGTAGACACACAACCAGATAAAGAGAATAAACGTGAGTACAAAACAACATTCATATTTAATATTTAAATTTCTTTCTCACTCATTCATTTACTTTTTCCTTTTCTCACTCACTTTCTCATTTACACTATTAGTCTCGCTCTGTCTATGTCTGGACATATACATGTACATATGTATATTTTTTGCAGAAACAAGAGATTCATCACCTGTAAGTAAAAAAAAATTAGATGAGCTTCTGGACACACAAGGAGATGAAGACAATAAACGTAAGTATAAACCAACACTTATACTTATTATGTAAATTTCTTTCTCACTCATTCATTTACTTTCTCTTTTTCTCACTCACTCTCTCACTTACACTCTTTTCCTCTCTTTCTCTCTCTTTCTCTCTCTCTTTATTTATATATATATATATATAATAGATATAATATATATATGCAGGAGAAAATGAATCATCACGTATAAATGAAGACTTTGATGAGTTTGTAGACACACAACCAGATAAAGAGAATAAACGTGAGTACAAAACAACATTCATACTTAATATTTAAATTTCTTTCTCACTCATTCATTTACTTTCTCATTTACACTATTAGTCTCGCTCTGTCTATGTCTAGACATATATATGTACATATGTATATTTTTTGCAGAAACAAAAGAATCATCACCTGTAAGTAAAAAATTAGATGAGCTCCTGGACACACAAGGAGATAAAGAGAAGAAACGTGAGTATAAAACACCATTCATACTTATTATTTATATCTCTTGGTGACTCATTTACACACTCTCTCTTTCTCTCATTCTTTTTCTATATCTACCTTTATTTCGTTTGCAGAAAAAAGAACACTAGCAGAAACCAATTAAATTCAAACAATAAATATTAATAATTAAAATAAATTGGTCGTGGTGTTCGTGGCCGTAGTGGTCGCAGCCGTGGAATTAACGTTTATTTCTTTAGCTATTAGCGTTATAAAGACAGTAGATTGTTTTATAAAGACATAGCATTATAAAGATGGTAGATTGTGTTAGTAAATCACATATTAAGTATATTCTTTTTCCGCATTACATATTTTGTGTTATGATTACATATTTTGTGTGATAAAGATGGTAGATTGTTTTAGTAATTCACACACATATTAAGTATATCTTTTTTCTGTATTACATATATTTTGTGTTACCATTATACAGTAAAAGTAAAAATTCATTCTTAAATATAAATTATATGCTAAAGATACATTTTTTTTGTTAGAAGTACATTCTTTTATAATATATTTTTAAATAATATATTTTTAAAAATATATTATAATGTTCTTTGCGCATNTGTTTTTTCATAACACATATATTAAAAAAATATATCTGTCAGTAACAAAGTGAGATTCGANTAAAACTATTGTTAGTAATATATCGTACGTAAATGTAAAATATATCTCTCAGTAGCAAGGTGACATTGGATACCGTTGAAAAGACGTTATGTAATTGCTGTGTAAATGGCACATATTAAATATAACTTTATTTTGTTCAATTAATTACTTATTGTTTTATTTTGATTAACATTGGTTCTTAAATACAAAATACATGCTATTGTTTGAGGTAAAAAATTCTGAAATATTATAAAATGCTACTTAGAGATACATTCGTAATACTAAAATTCATGATGTATAATTAGAACTTTGTGCAATTATGTGTTTTTATTATTCACCAGCAAGATATACTCTCATATACATGTAAGAATATTCTAAATTATATTGTTCTATCAAAAAATATTATTATTATTTACCAGTAAGATATAACTCTCATATAGATGTAAGAATATTCTAAAAAATTTATTGTTCTATCAAAAAATACGTTTATAGAGTGTCTTAT